GTCGTGATTGTCCTGTCGATTAGGTACCTCAGGAGGGGTAGTCGCGCGTGTTTTGTTTTCGATGCAAACTCGCGGAGATGAACAGGCCTGCCCCTACTAAGGTCGAGTGCTTAACTTGAGTCCGTGCCTGTCTATACCTCAGTCGGTATGGGAGGGGTGAGATTGACATAAATGACGTGACAGAGCATACAAATATGAAGCACATTTGAAGTCTCTCAGTCGTTAGCCGTCACAAAAACACTCCCGTGTCGCTTCCATACCTCAAGCGCTGAGTCAGAGCGCTAGACTTATACAACAATATAAGCTATAGTCTGGTCCGTGAGCACGTAGAATTTTGTCCAATGACCCCAAGGTACCCATCCTTATTGCTCGCGCGTAATTATGTTGCTATCGCGCTCGCACACTCACTGCGGGTGCCAGTCGCACAGTCGCGACAGCAATATAATTACGCGCGAGCGATAAGGATGGGTAGCTAGGGGTCATTGGACAAAATTCTACGTGCTCACGGACCGGGCTTTAGCACAATAACTCACCAGCTCGGAAAGGCGCGCAGTGCGGCGGCGGCATGCGTGGCAGCTGCGTCCAACCGGCGCCCGGGCCCGCGGGCCCGCCTGGCCCGTTGTCTGATTCTGAAAAGAATTTAAGGTTAAGCGGTTGTCGCGAGACGATTGGTTCATTCGTTAGTTCGATTCAAAAGACGTCCACTTCATTTTACACTTAACTTTCATTCTGATCTTGAAAATAAAGTTGGTTTTCTAGGCAAGAAAAGGTAATAAAATTTATTTATTTATGAATAGAACGATAAACATGATAGATATAAATTTTAGAGCATTGCTGGCTTAGAGGGAATTTGCACGAGGGATTGGCCGATACCAAATCGTTTTGAGAGCATTTTCATACATGTTCATACTGAGTAACAGCCCAAGTAAACTAGCTGTAGGCTGTGGGGAGCCTTTTGGCTACAAAAAATGACATAAAACCACTCACCGTCATCCATAAGCGGCGGCGCCATATCGTGCCTCATCGGCGGTCTATCCAACAGCGGAGGACGGTCATTCCTTTCATCCTCCCTGTCATCCCTTCCTTCCCTTCCATCTTGGAAGTCGTCCCGAGGAGCGGGCTTGCCGTTGGCCATCTCCCATAGTGGTTCCTGGGAGTCTTATGGCTACAAAAAATGTCATTAAAGCCCTTACCATCATCCATAAGCGGCGGCGCCATATCGTGCCTCATCGGCGGTCTATCCAACAGCGGAGGACGGTCGTTCCTCCCATCCTCCCTGTCATCCCTTCCCTCCCTTTCATCTTGGAAGTCGTCCCGGGGAGCGAGCTTACCATTAGCCATCTCTCACAGTCGCTCCTGGGAGTCTTATGGCTACAAAAAATGACATAAAACCACTCACCGTCATCCATAAGCGGCGGCGCCATATCGTGCCTCATCGGCGGTCTATCCAACAGCGGAGGACGGTCGCTCCTCCCATCCTCCCTGTCATCCCTTCCCTCCCTTCCATCTTGGAAGTCGTCCCGGGGCTTGTCGTCCCTGGGAGCGGGCTTGCCGTTGGCCATCTCCCATAGTCGCTCCTGAAGGGACTTTTCGCCAGTCTGTTCGGGGTTGCCGGGAATGCGAGGGGACTTCTCTCGGCTGCGGTCTCTGTGAGAATAAAAGTGGTTAGAGTATGTTCAGTAAAATGTTAGTTATGTAAACTATATAGTTACTGTATCCGCGCATTTGAATGGCACAGTATTAGTGGGTGGGTAGGAATAATGATTTACAAAAGCTACACTCATGCGCCTAAAATAAATAATCAAAACGGTGGCGAAAAACAATGTAGGTAATTTAAAATACATTTTACAGTGAAATATTTTTCTCTTTTATTGTCTAAGTTGCAAAATGTGCTGTACCATACTATGAACAGCCCCCCTAGACAAGTTGCACTTTTTGATCGAATCCGTCATAGCTCCGTACAAAAAAAAGGCTCCGACCATTTTTCGACTGGTTTGCGATTAAAATGAACATTTTGTCTAGGCGCACAGCATTGAAAATATACTCACCCGTTGTTATTATCTCGAGCGCCGAACCGGTCCCTGTCGGGTCTTTCCCGGTCGCGGTCCCTGTCGCGGTCGCGGCGGTCCCGGTTGCCGCGGTCTCCCCGCTCGCGGTCTCTTCTTTCGTCCCGCTCTCCCCCGCGTTCCCTGCGCAATAATACAATGTTTACTATACTGCCAATTCTAGCATTTAAAGAACAAACAACGACACTTCAACTTGGACACTGGAATCTTATGAAAGTCGATAATAATGATGTGCTTTAGATTAGCTGTTCAAGAAAACAAGAGTGTAATTTCAACTACCCGGAGACTGGGAATTTGTAATATTATACGAAACAGACACCATTCATTACGAATTCTGGATAAGGTTTATTCATCATCATCATCATTTCAGCCATAGGACGTCCACTGCTGAACATAGGCCTCCCCTAATGCTTTCCACGTTGATCGATTGGTAGCAGCCTGCGTCCAGCGCTTCCCTGCTACCTTTACGTGGCCTCTCACTATAGGCCTTATACAGAAGCTCAAAGTCGCACAGCGTGCTATGGAGAGGGCTATGCTTGGTGTTTCTTTGCGAGATCGAATCAGAAATGAGGAAATCCGTAAACGAACTAAAGTTGCTGACATAGCCCGACGGATTAGCAAGCTGAAGTGGCAATGGGCAGGGCACATAGTACGCAGAACTGACGGCCGATGGGGCAGCAAGGTTCTGGAATGGAGGCCGCGTACCGGAAAACGCAGCGTGGGACGTCCACCTACACCTACATCGTAAGGTTTATTAGGACAAATAATTTGATTAATAATGAGTCTAAATAAATAAAGATCTTATAAACTTTTACGAAGTACAGACGACAGCACATCGGACTACAAATTGTTGTTGCATAATAACACTTATTGCAAACAAAGTAAGATGCTACATGCGGAAAACGCAGCGTGCGACGTCCACCCACAAGGTGCATCTAAATAAATAAATGTAAGCAGGAAAGCGCTGGTTCAGGCCGCTACCAACCGGGTGATATGGAAATTATTGGGGGAGGCCTATGTTCAGCAGTGGACGTCCTGTGGCTGAATTGGCTGAAATGATGAAGATGCTACAGAGTTTAGCTCGATGGGTCGTCGTCAGTACCTACATAAAAAATTCTAAATCGACATCCTAATTAGAAAATAAGACACAATCATTAAACTCACCTATCCCGATCCCGTCCTCGATCTCTGCCACCACGCTCTCTATCCCTGTCCCTCCTGTCCCGCCCGCCGTCCCTCCTGTCCCTGTCCCTGTCCCGATCCCTGCGGTCGCGGTCGTTCTTGCGGTCGTCGTCCTGCTTGTCGTCCGGCGGCGGCTGGGACGCGTTGAAGGGCGGCGGCTCGGACAGGTTGAAGCCGGGTGGCGGTTCGGACGCGTTGAACACTGGAGGTGGCTTGGACAGAAGCGCTTGTAGCTGGTGGGGCAAGATTTTATTTGTGAGTAGTTGGAAATAAAATATATTTTATTAAATCATTATTTTATCAAAATGGCTTAGTGTGAACGGAGCCTTAATCCAAACAAGATGAAAAGCTTAAGTAAATAAATATTAAAATAAACAGCTTCATCGAAAAGCCGTATTGAGCAGTACAGGGATGGCGAAACAATGGCATGCCACTAATCACAAAATTCACTATGAAACAAAATACATTGCAAATAATGTGTTATGTGTCAAATAAAGTTTTTCTTATTCTTATGTTTGAATGAGGCTACCGAATTTGGTCTTATCAGTTAGTGCCGCTTTAGAGCAAGGTCCTGTCGCTCGCCAGTGGCGAGACTTGTACTATACTATACCCCTCATTGATAGCATTAAGGTTCGGACAAACCAACGCGTGCAGCGATGGCGATGGCGATGGCGACCACTGCGCGTGCAAAAGTTGTTTCACACTGCCGCGACCTCGATGGCGATCACTGCGCGTGCAGGTTGTCACTGTCACCACAACTGTCACGCATATTGTCAATCACGCCTATTCGGCAAAATGGAAACTGAATTATTAATTGTTTGGAACTTTTGATGCAATTGAGACAGTGGAAACACTTTTTCTCTCAAGTTTATTCAGGCCATTGAAGTAATCATTAGGTATAACTCAATGATTCAGGCGGCCTTTTTAATCTAAGGGCGGCCATATATTATAGAATGAGACAGGATCACATGCGGTATAGGTAGTAGGTATTGGTTACTCATAACCAAGCTATATTTCTGGCTTCGTTTGTAGTCCCTAGAGCCCTAAGGCCTCAGCCTCGAACTTAGCGGGCAGCGGGGCGGGAGCGGCGGCGGCGCTGGAGCGTGGCGGGCAACGCAGACCCGTTCTCGAAACAAGCGGGCAGCTCGCGCGGCGCTTTAGCGGCGAAGTGTTGTGTTCGGGGTTGTGTTGTCGAGATATTTTCATTTTTGGTGCAACAGTCATCTTGACATTTACTTTTTTTAAGGCAAAGGAAATTACAATATGCACCCAAACCACAGAGTACATATAGTCCAAATATCTTTTTTGTCTTAAATAATAACCCAAAAATACAAAAAGACATCAGTTTTGATCAACTAGGTGTTTCTAGTGGCACTAAATTAATGACTGAGACGTTTGATGACTTTCATTAGGTTTTTATTTATGGCATACTTAGAATTGCTCTAGGGCCTTTGAGAAAGCTGCAGACATGTACATTCTCAATTATTTTGTTCTGCAGATAATATCCCAATTTTATTTATGAAGTTGAAGCAGCAGGTTTTCGAGAACACTAGAATAATTTGTTTATTACATAACAATAAATTCTGATATTGATTCTTTATTCTAAAACACATGTTTGTTATGTATGTTATGAATAATTCATTTTTAATCGTGTAAAAACTTTTTAACAGATCCTACTTACTATTTATTACATCGATTTTAAAAAACAGAAACGTCATAGTGACAAATGTCGCGATGATCGCTGATCGCTGCGTGCAGACGCTGCATAGATCGCCGCGACCAATGACAGGACGCGTTGATGTGAACACATCGCTACAAATTCATACGCGCTGTCTGGTCGCCATCGGCATCGTCATCGTGCACGCCGGCTGCACGCGTTGGTCTGGTCTAACCTTTAGGTGTTATTGGAGGGCACGTCTACGAAGTACGACTACATCAAATATTTTTTTAGAAAAGTGGCACGTCGATACTTAAAGGTTCACCATTCCTGGAGTAGTGTACATACAGGGTGGAAACGATAAGTGATCTCACGCGATTATTTCTAAACTATACAAGATATCGAAAAACTGGTTACTGATCCTGAAAGTGCTTCACGAGTTCTTTCCAACGGTATAAGTAATAGGTTACAGAATTAACTGGATCTATCCGAAAATTCAATGTTTTCAGCCTCCATACTAAATGTATGCCAGCCACACAATATTAGAAGAGTAATTTTTTTTTAATAAATAATAAACACTTAATAGGTATGTACTCGTAAATTGCATTCTTATTTAAAATTATTCATGGAAAACATTGATTTTAGGCTTTACTTGCTATAATATTATCAAGAAATGAGTGCCATGACTGTGGTTACTACCACTACTACTAAATGTATGGAAGCTGGAAACATTGAATTTTCGGATAGATCCAGTTTATTTTGTAACTTATTATTGGTACCGTTGGATAGAGCTCCTGAAGCACTTTCAGGATCAGTAACAAGTTTTTGGATATCTTGCATAGTTTTTAATATTATGTGGTTTTACTAAATGTATGGAAGCTGGAAACATTGAATTTTCGGATAGATCCAGTTTATTTTGTAACCTATTATTGATACCGTTGGATAGAGCTCGTGAAGCACTTTCAGGATCAGTAACCAGTTTTTGGATATCTTGTATAGTTTTTAATATTATGTGGTTTTACTAAATGTATGGAAGCTGGAAACATTGAATTTTCGGATAGATCCAGTTTATTTTGTAACCTATTATTGATACCGTTGGATAGAGCTCGTGAAGCACTTTCAGGATGAGTAACAAGTTTTTGGATATCTAGTATAGTTTCGAAATAATCCAATGAGATCACTTATCGTTTCCACCCTGTATATTCGTTACCTGGTCGGAGAGTAGCGGCGGCGCGGCGGGCGCGTCGGCCGGCTCCTCGCTGTCCAGCTCCATTGCGTCGTCCGCGTGAGACACCTCGGCCCGAAGCTGTTGGGCTTGCTGTTGCTGGAATAATAAACATATTTTACTATTTATTTCTTATCCTATTAGTACGAGAGGGGACCGTAAACCCTACGTCATTTGATACTAAGTTAAGCTCCATGGCACACGTTCAGAAAAGTTGTGCTAACAATTAATTGATAAACTCCCATTTGGCCGAAAGTGAGCTTATCTTGTATCAAATGACGTAGGGTTTCTTACGGTCGAAATAAATCAATTTTAGTAGTAAATAAGCTCAAGGTATTATTAGTTCAGAGACATATTGTTGTGATAAAATAAAATTGTTTGCCTTGGCTTTAAGTTACGGTTCATTCCGTCTTCCGTCAGTCTCTGTAGTTAGTGCTCTACTACAGACCCAGAAGCCCCGGGTTTAATTCCCACAGGGGGCAGATTTTTCTGTCGGAGTTGGTTGGTGGTAGGGCTTGTTATAAGTTCGCGAGACTAGCTACCACCGTCTGACCTTAATGAGGGCTATCGTTTTAGCGCTCACCAGTTAACGCCACTGTAGAGTAAGGGCCTGTCACTTGCTAGTAGCGAAGACAGTGGCACCAACTGGTGAGCGCTAAAGTGGTAGGAGGACTATCGCATTTGCACTCATCAAGATGGCGCCACTGTAGAGTAAGGTCCTGTCAATCGCCAGGGGTACCAACTGTTAAGTATAAAAACGATAGCCCTCATTACATACATTTTGATATGTCAGCGCCGACGATTAGCGAGCGGTCAGCGCGATTCTAAAACCAGCCTTACGATGTCATCGGTCATTGTGGGTGGACGTCCTACCACAGAATAATAATAAGTACTACGTACGGAAGTTTGACTTCGCGGAGGTATTTAAAAAATGTATGCTCAATGTCATTAACAATATGGTGTAATTTAGCCTGTCTCAAGAGTCAAGCACCATTTTGTTGACAAACGTCAGTGATCGGCACTGCGCCGAAGCTATAGGGCTGACTTCGGTAAAATGATGTGACGTGAGGTGCCAAACTGCGGAAAATGGCGGAAGAAATACATGATTTAGCATTAATTATTATGAATAATATTAACTACTTATTTACCTCTCAGTGTCTTGAGGCAACTTAAAAAAAGTACATTCTGTGTTTTTATTATTATTTAGGCAGTTAAATACTGCACAGTATTTAGTACACCAGTTTCTTTATTTTCTTCCATCATACACAAGAATATGCGTGAGTCAATGTTCGCTCGTATATGTGGGCCATCGTGCGTGTTTTGTTATCGATGTAAACTCGCGGAGATGAACAGGCCTGATCCTACGTTCATAGCAAACTATTCTCTATTCCAACTACACAAAGTTGGTTACCTGGTGCGCGGGCGGCGTGTGCGGCGGGTGCGCGTGGTGCGCGTGGTGCGCCGGGTGCAAGTGCGGCAGCGCCACCAGCCCGCCCACGCCCAGCAGCCCGCCCAGGAACCCGCCCACCATACCTAGGGGATAATACAACGTTAATAAGGGCTACATTTGCGTACCTCAGGAATACGTATTTATGCGCTCCAAGAAAACGCCCACCATGCGGCTGGGGATACACAAGGGACATAAAAGCGAATGGTCACTGACTGACTCACTCACTCATCACGAAATCTCAGAAACTACAAGTGCTGGGGTTCCTTTTACAACGTAAGTGCTCACTAAGATGGTATTTAGACTGGTTTAATAATAATCTAAAAAAAACACATTCTTAAAATCACAAGCTGAAGTCTATGCCTGACATATTGAATTTCGGAATAAGAACTGCAGTTATTTTCATTGATAAATTCACAAATCCTATTAGTTCTCATTTTTTATAAAAGTTCAACCAAAATCAAATTAAAATAAATTATGCTTGACATAGAATCAAGTCATGGAATTAGAATCCAATTGATATAGCGATACGGTACACAACACAGGTATAGGGCTGCGATATGGACTGCGGTTCAACGAATCACAGGCTAGATTTATCTTGACCTAGAACTTAGATTTGGATTATGAACTCTATTGCTATAGCGATACGGTAGTGCACACGTACCGGGCTGCGGCATGGACTGCGGCTATTTTAGTTAACAATATAACACCAAAAATATGACCAGTTTTTTTGTAAAACCAAAATCAATCAAAGCAATATGAACTCTAATTTCATAGCGATAGGATACACAACACGTACCGGGCTGCGGCATGGACTGCGGCTATTTTATTTAACAATATAACACCAAAAATATGACCAGTTTTTTTTGTTAAACCAAAATCAATCAAGGAATATGAACTCTAATATCATAGCGATATGGTAGTGCACACGTACCGGTGACTGCGGCTATTTTAGTTAACAATATAACCAGTTTTTTTTGTAAAACCAAAATCAATCAAAGGAATATGAACTCTAATATCATAGCGATACGGTAGTGCACACGTACCGGGCTGCGGCATGGACTGCGGCTATTTTAGTTATCAAGTAATATAACACCAAAAATATGACCAGTTTTTTTTTGTTAAACCAAAATCAATCAAGGAATATGAACTCTAATATCATAGCGATACGGTAGTGCACACGTACCGGCGACTGCGGCTATTTTAGTTCACAACATAACACCAAAAATATGACCAGTTTTTTTTGTAAAACCAAAATCAATCAAAGGAATATGAACTCTAATATCATAGCGATAGGATACACAACACGTACCGGGCTGCGGCATGGACTGAGGCTATTTTAGTTAACAATATAACACCAAAAATATGACCAGTTTTTTGTTAAACCAAAATCAATCAAAGGAATATGAACTCTAATATCATAGGATACACAACACGTACCGGGCTGCGGCATGGACTGCGGCGGCATGCCGGGCGGGAAGCGCAGCATGGCCGCGCCCGCGGGCGGCAGACCCGCTTCGTTTTGCAGCCCTGGGGGGGTACATAGTGATGTTAATGTTATACACCACTAAATTTTAATCACCGAAAAAAGAAATTCTGGGTAATGAGTTATTGATACTGATCCCATTTGTGCAAAAAAAAAAGTAAAATAAAGTGACTCAAAATATCCTCCTAAAATTGGTAATTTATTGACACACGCGTCGCTAGCACTATTTACGTACGATAATGTAACACTTATTAGAATTCAAAATGGTCTAAGTTAGGTAAGTATGTAATAATAACACTGGAAGCGTGGTCAAGGCGTGAGCGAGACAGATAGATCGATGCAACGTGCGAGCGCGTACGACTACTCTAGCGAACAGCGGAGTGACCCAGCTGTGACGCGTAAAATACGGACTAAAGAAAATTTAATAAAAAAATTAACTTTATGAAAAACATTTCTTTTTCTTTAAATTTTTCACACGTTTCTACATAACCTGTTAAATTTTTTTCGGTGATAAAAATTTAGTGGTGTATTTCACCGGGACACCATGGCGGCGCAACCAACAAAATGTATACAGCTTTGCGCAACCAAACGGATACCAGGTGAGTAACTCTTTATAGAGCTGTATACATTTTGTTGGTAGCGGCGACTGGTTGCGCCGCCATGGTGTCCCGGTGAAATATAGCCCTTATAGCGGCACAGAAACTTAAGAAAGAAAAAAAATTTAATTCGAACCTAAAATTAACACACACGGTTTGAATAAGTAAAAGGATTTGGAGTTGGAGAGAGCGGCAGTAATAGACGCCATGAACATTAAAATATTCAAATAACACAAATGTTAAGATGCATAGCTTGCTTAAGCAAAATTAAATGTGTCTAAAGCCCGTATTCACAAACGATGCTTATGTAAATCAGCAAATCGAACGCACAGCGTTGCTGTGATTGGTTCGTGTGTCAACCTGTGCGTCCGCGTGCACTGTGAGACCTCATAGTAATGTTTGTGAATACGGACGTAAGATCCGATGGGCACACAATCCAGTGTTGGGCATTGAGGCAATGTTATTGTTCTTATCTATAATCTTGTTGGTGATCTTTTTAAAATGTATGTGACTTTGTTGGTGTACCTAATAAATCTATACTAATATTATAAATGCGAAAGCAACTCTGTCTGTTTCTCTTTCACGCCTAAACCACTGAACCGATTTTGATGAAATTTGGCATAGAGATAGTTTGAGTCCCGGAAAAGGATATAGGATAGTTTTTATCCCGGTTTTTGAAACAGGGACGCGCGCGATAAAGTTTTTCTGTGACAGACAGAATTCCACGCGGGCAAAGCCGCGGGCGGAAAGCTAGTAAATAAATAAAATAAAGTAGATGATATAATCACTGACCTGGCACTCCGGTGGGCAGGCCCGGTGGCCGGATGCCGGCGGGCAGGCCTGGGGGTAGTCCCGGCGGCAGCCCACCCGGCATACTGCGGGGAGAACAACAATAATCATCAAACAATGTCACTTCAAATGTAATAGTAGTTTTGATGGCAATTATTCATTCGTGTAAAGAAAAGCTTCGTCACTAAGCGAATAATATTCGGTTCACCAAAGCCGTAAAACTTATATTTAAAAAAAAAATGTATATATATTCATTCGGTGTCGACGAGTGTCACTACTTGAAACTACGTAAACGGCGGCGTTAGGAAGTGTTCCAGCGAATTTAATAAGGAATCCGAGAGTTGAGGCTCTCAATACAAGCAAAGATTTGTATGTATATGCGCTGACATCTTGCGTAGTCGGACTGGCAAGTGTTTTCTGTCTCGCTCGCACTGGATTTTCAACCACCGAGACGAGGCGGGGAGGGGTGAATGCGTTGCGTGCGTTTTTTTTTTGCGTTGAGCTGCTATTCTGGTTCTGTGAAGTCCAAGTTTAATACGACTGTCGCGGCGTCCAGCCTGCATGGTCAAAGACATAGACTAGGACTGGCTGAAGATTAACGAGACGACGTTTTTCTTTTACATTGTTTGACATTTGACAGTCGACGAACAATGGACGGCAATTTTATCATGAAATTGTGAATTTTATTTAATATTGGTTTTAGACAATAAACCAGTCCGACGAAGCCTTGACTTTTTCTTAAACCGCCACGACGACGACGGTTCTACTTACTAGTGAACACACCTCACTCACCCTTGGTGGCAGCCACTGAGGCAGCGTGTCTTCATCCACAGCGCCGCCGTCTTCCAGCGCGTCTAGGGATAACGCATTGAGAGCCCAGCGGGCCTGCAGCGCGCTCCATGGTAGATAGGACACGCCACAAGGTCTGCTTCCCAGTAGTCCTTCCACATCCCACTTACTACAGGACTATTCCCACCTCATGTTCCCACCGCTGCAACACCTATGTAGCCAGGATCTACAGCTTGACCGCCAATAAAAACCCAACCATTGAAGGTCAAGTTATCCTACCGACTAATGAACACACCTCACTCACCCTTGGTGGCAGCCACTGCGGCAACGTATCTTCATCAACAGCGCCGCCGTCTTCCAACGCGTCTAGAGATAACGCATTGAGAGCCCAGCGGGTCTGCAGCGCGCTCCATGGAAGATAAGACACACCCAGAGAAGGTAAGACACGCCCAAGGAAGGTAAGACACGCCCAGGTCTGCTTCCCAATAGTCTTACCACATCCTACCTAATGAACACACCTCACTCACCCTCGGTGGCAAGCATTTTGTTTTCATAGGGGTAACTTAAAAATTAGGGATTGATGGTGAAAACGGGAATAAGTCCTTCCACATCCTACCTAATGAACACACCTCACTCACCCTTGGTGGCAGCCACTGCGGCAACGTATCTTCATTCACAGCGCCGCCGTTTCCAACGCGTCTAGAGATAACGCATTGAGAGCCCAGCGGGCCTGCAGCGCGCTCCATGGTAGATAGGACACGCCAAAGGAAGGTAAGACATGCCCAAGGAAGGTAAGACACGCCCAAGTAAGATAAGACACACCCAGAGAAGGTAAGACACGCCCAAGGAAGGTAAGACACGCCCAGGTCTGCTTCCCAATAGTCCTTCAACATCCTACCTAGTGAACATACCTCACTCACTCTT